CATGTACATCTCTCTCTCTCTCTCAGCTACCTACCTACCAAAAATGATGAAAATAAGTTGTTCCTATCTGGACTTATTGCCTTTCAAAGATTTCGCCCAAAGGTCTTATTCCTGACAGGAAAATCTATCTGTCACCAAAAATTCAAGACCATAGCATGTTCAGGACAAAAGATACAAAAACCGGAAGTCCTGCTGCAGTACCAAGGTCATCCTCCAGGAGGCCCATATTTGACCTTGACCTTCGTCTTTCTAAGGCTTACCAACATACCAAAAATCATCACAATTTATAAAGTCGTTATCAAGTTATGCTGACTACAAATGTGCGGAAACACAAACACAAACACAGACAGACACACACACAGACAGACGTGTCAAAAACAATACCTCCATTTTTCATGGAGGTAAAAATATTTAAAAGAAAATAAGTAGGTTTGGCAATAAGCAAGTGTAGAAAATTCACGATAACTCAGACCCAATAGTCAATCACCTGAACAACTGGGCTTGTTATCCTGCCAGAAGCCTCCTTCGACGCATCTCAGTTCGGTAGGATACCCGGGCTTTATGTAGTACCCCTCGTTGCAGGTGAAGGCGATCCTTTCTCCCACGTAGTAGAACCTCTTCATAGGGCTTCTATTGCCGTAGTCAGGAGGACCGATGTCCCAGCAGCCTCTAGTATCTGAGTTGGCATAGGCAATGGTAAGGTAAAGCAATCATTATTATGGGGAAAGAACCAGAATTGAAATCCGTATAAAACAAGAATTCCGAGATTTCATACCTCCATAAAATAAGGGCTTGATATGTAAATGTAAATTTCCTCTTTAATTATGCATATTACCTCCTCATTAACATGATATATGCATCGTGATGTATGTTAACGTTTGATTAACTTACAGCTGTCCAAAGTATGACATTCCCATTATTCACCATTAAGAAATCATAGAATTTTTGCATAAATTATGCAAATTAGGTCATCATTTGCATAATTAGTATCTGTTGATGTTCTGCCTGCCATAGGTTACATACATTACATGTATGAAAGTTTAAGGTCTCGGACCGGAGTTTCCCTCCGTATTTCGAGCAATTTGACACCCTCAGCCCGACGGGCTGTCATTTCTGTACTAAACGCGGGTCGGAAGTTTTCACTCTTTTGGTGGAAAGGGGTGCCGTGCCGCTTATCAATACACCTGATTGATATTTTCTGCGCCCAATTTATTTAGGGGTAAATAAGGCACATCAAAGTACATTTTTAAAAAAGGGGTCATTTTTTTCGTCATTTTTAACCATGGCTGCATGGAAAAAACGAATTTTCCCAGGGTAACGGCTTAGTACTCGAAGAAGCTCAGAACCTAATGTTTCCAAAATTTGAATTTAATTAAAATCGATGCGATAAGTTTATCGCTATCTTCGATGGCCCGAACACACCCACAACGCACATAGAACGTACCATCCCGGCGGTCAGGCGAAAAGGCCACATAACCATCCGCGCGGACGAATACCAGGAAGTCTTAGCTGGACCACCAACATTACGCCACCTATAAAGGCTACAACTAACAGGCTTTTCAGAAAATACAAAGATATGTACACAGATATTACGATTTCAGGGATATCGGGGCCAAAACATACCATACAAAGTCACGTTTCCGGCGATTAACTGCGCACTTACTTAGACTCTGGTCAGAATTAAACTCCGACCCGGAACCATAATGTAAAACACTGTAATCATAGAATTTCCTCATTAATTATGCAAATAAAGTCCACATTTGCATAATTTGCATTTAATCATGTAAATCTCTCTCTTAGCTACCTACATACCAACAATTATGAAAATATGTTGTTCCTATCTGGACTTATTGGCTTTTAAACATTTCGCCAGAAAGTGCCCTGCAGTTCCAAAACAAGCTGCTAGGGGGACCAAACTCACACCACTTATTCCTGACAGGAAAAGCAATCTGTCACCAAAACATCAAGACCATAGCATATTCAGGACAAAAGATACAAAGACCGGAAGTTCTGCTGCAGTACCAAGGTCATCCACCAGGAGGCCCATATTTGACCTTGACGTTTGTCTTCCTAAGACTAACCAACATACCAAATATCATCATAATCCATAAAGGCGTTATGAAGTTATGCTGACCACAATGTTGCGGAAACACAGACACACACACACACACACATACATACATACAGACAGACACGCCAAAAACAATACCTCCATTTTTCATGGAGGTAAAAAGAGACCAAAGATCTGGCCTGGAACAGAACAACACAGAGTTACCAGCTTCACAAAACATCTCTAGATCACTCCTACGTATTTTGTTCTTGCATAAAAATAGTGTAAGGCACAGACACATGTGAGAGACTGAGAGGAATGCCTGTGACTTTGTTAGCTCTATACTACTAATGAGTGAATATCGTCAGATTAGATTTGTCTAGTATTTAAAATATCTGAGAACCACGGACATAAATCTCGGGTGTGGTCTCGGGAACAAGGTATGGTTCTTACTGCAGGAAACGACGTCGCATTCCTGCTGGCTGCCATCTTCCACCAGACAAAATGGCCGCCCAGACCGGTAGGGTTACGGCAGTAGTTGTTATCCATGTTGGCCCAGGGGTACGCGGCTGGGTAGAACCCTTCCTGCGCAGCGGACCACTTCACACACTCTGCCCCGGACTTGGCTGTACTCCGTGTGCCGCGGTAGTTCATGCCGCCACCGTGGTAGCAAACTGAGGAGGAAAAAACGACCACAAATCAGCAATTTATCCTACAGGTAAACAAATAAATGCACCTCTAAATGCATGATTGTACTTAAATACCAGGGAATGGGAACATGCCAATTACAAATGCCACTGCCAGCGGAAAGTCATGAGTCTATTTCTCTCTTTACCTTCGCCGTTCCTAGTCGCTGGTTCAGGGTTCCAACAGCCGTGCTGTGGTGGTGGAAACAAGTCACAGGTAGGGAACCGCTTCTTCATCCGGGTATCAGCCATGTTGAGGACTTCCTCACACCACGAACGGCACGGTAGCAGTGGTTTGTTCCTAAATACACAGACATGTTTAGGAATATTGACATGAGGTTTTCTTACTTTTAAAACACACAAAAAAGAAAATGCAATTTAAGCACGAACGTTGACGTTTCATTTGAATATGACCGAACTTATTCCTAACTATAACTGTGGAATTATAAAACTTATCAATACTAATAAAGTAGCATTTAAAACATGCCTCGGCGACGTGATTCTCTTTTGATGTAAGTGATGATCATGAGGTCTGTTTTGGTTATAGTGTGCTTGTTTAAGGATGTGGGCCAGTCATAAGTTTCTCACGAGGATTTAATAATAAAATACACTTGAGAAATAAGGGTATTCTAGCGTATATTCATAAATTATGCAAATTAGGACCCAATTTGAATAAATTATGTTTAGTGATGTTCACCTTCACTGAATTTCCAGTATGGCAAGTA